AAAAAAAAAAAAAAAAAAAAAAAAAAAAAAAAACAATTCTTGAGTATGGTATCATTACGAAACAAGCAAAACAATGGCATTGATTCGAGTGGCGCTGGTATAGAAGTGCTAAGGGAAGTATGATATGATTATCTGCTTTCGCAAGTTTCTGTCATAACAGGCATGGGTGATATCGAAAGGCGGGCATTACTAGTCTTTTCATTCATGAACATCTGCCTACTCATACACGGACCAAATACACATGCAGAATGGCTGCATTGTTATTCAAGAGATGTTTACACGGAGATTCAGCTCTTCATCGCCAGCAGTACCTGAAACGTCGGCAATTAAGCAAGTTGCGGATGATGTCAAAACCATAGCGGGAATTGCCTATACTCAGAAAGTACCGTTTATGAAGCTTTGTGAATTATCTCCAGGTTCGGAGCGCCACTCCCCACAGCTGACTCGATGTACAAGGAGGAAGACGACTGGAGATCGAGGGAATCGGTGGAGCCGGGCCCGTTTTTGGGATCATCGACTTCCTGTCATCTCGCTTAGCCGCTGGCGTGTTTCTACCCGCCGTACAAACCCCAATCTATCTCCGGCATTTGACATCGACAGTTCCAACTTCATCTTATCCACTCGATTAATCTAGCTTTCGGCGCATCTACAGCTCGTATGATGGATCCGCCTTGCAGGCATGGCGACTCGATTGACGACTGCGTGATTCTTCATGGTTCTACCAATCTGCAGCCCCCATGACTTCTGAAACAGCGAATCTCCGAGCAACGCCATCGAGCTGCCTCGGCCATAGATCCTTTCATCAAACTGGAACTAATCTGGAGGTGACGGAAGCTTCGCTTAGCTTGATCAATGCCCAAGAAGTTTGGCAGAGCTGATCATCCGAGAAATGTTTAAATAGTATGAACGGCCCTCGCAATGATTCTTCACCGCAAGCAGATCGTTCTCTTCCGACTCGCCAGTCTTTCATTCTTTTCACTTGCTGATCTTCATTGATTGAAGTTCTTCCATTCTTTCGCCACTCTTTAGATATTCCGCTGTGCGTGAATCAAGATAAAATGCCTCTTTCCAAGATCGTGGGAGTTCTGCTGGCCTCAGCTTCCCTTGTGGCCGGACATGGCTACGTGTCGAGCATCGAGGTGGACGGTACTACTTACGGTGGTTACCTGGTTGACACTTACTACTACGAGTCCGATCCCCCGGAGCTGATTGCCTGGTCTACGAACGCCACGGATGATGGATATGTCTCTCCCACCCAATACGAGAGCTCCAACATCGTCTGCCATCGTGGCTCCGCTCCTGGTGCACTTGAAGCTCCGGTCGCTCCGGGTGGAACCGTCAAGATGACATGGAATACTTGGCCCGATGACCACCATGGGCCAGTGATCACCTACCTGGCCAACTGCAATGGCTCTTGCGCTGACGTCGATAAGACGGCTCTGCAATTTTTCAAGATCGATGCTGGTGGCCTGATCGATGATTCCGAGATCCCCGGCACCTGGGCTACCGACAAGCTTATCGACAACAACTACACTCGCAGCATTACCATCCCGTCTGATATCGAGGCTGGAAGCTATGTTCTTCGCCACGAGATTATTGCCCTGCACGGTGCTGAGGACTTGGATGGCGCCCAGAACTACCCCCAGTGCATCAACCTGAACGTCACCGGAAGCGGCACTGCCACCCCGAGTGGAACCCTGGGAACTGCACTGTACAAGGACACCGACCCCGGCATTTACGTCGACATCTGGCAGAGCATCAGCAGTTATACCATCCCTGGACCGACCCTCTACACCGCTGGCAGCACTGCCACCGCTGCTGCTGATACGACTACCACTGCTGCTGCTACCAGCGCCTCGACGACCGAAGCCGCTGTCGTGACTTCTGCTGCTGCCTCTTCTGCTGGCGCTGGATCCCAGACCACCATGGTCACCTCCTCTCGTCCTCAGCCCACTGGTAGCTCCGACAGTTCCTCTGGTGTTGTTAGCTCTGATAGCACCAACAGCCAGTCCGGCAGTGGCTCGGCGGCTGGCGGCCAGTTCGGTCAAACCCAGCCTGGCATGGCAGGATCCGACAACGCCAGCCCCTCCGACTCGGCCTCTACCCCCACCAGCTCCACCCCCAGCGCTGCTTCCAGCTCCGCATCTTCGGCTACCTCGGGTGTCCTGAGCGGCTCTTGCAGCCAGGAAGACTACTGGTACTGCAATGGCGGCACGGCATTCCAGCGTTGCGTCAACGGCGAGTGGGATGCGTCTCAGAGCATGGCCGCAGGCACTGAGTGCACTCCTGGTATCTCGGAGACGCTGACGATCGCTGCTTCTTCGAAGCGTCGCAATGTTAGCGGTCTGCGCCGTCGTCGCTTGTAAGAATGATGGCAGACTATCGTATTGTGAGTGGTGTTTGGAGGATCTGCGGCATACGTGGCCTACATCATTTTTCTCTTCATGTGTATACTTACGTTACCTTTGACCAGCTCTAGAAGCTTTGATAGTGAAAGACATGGAGTCAAATATAACGCGTGTAACGCAAAAACTCAAATTCCATCGCGTGTCATACCAAGCTTTCGTAGTATTATCTCAGATGTTCAGACCCTTCGCTTCTTGATCCATACTAGCAGATCAAGTCTAGTGAGTAGGTCTTTGAATCCTCTCTTAATCCAGAATTTGCCTTCCTACTCTAATATCACTCTGAGTGTTCTTATCGTATTGATATCCCCAAATTTTACAGAAGGCACCGTGACTTCAACGTACCTTGGTATAAATTCTTAGTGATGCTATAAGGTGGCTGGTACTAGAAGACGTCAGTTAAAAGTTCCAGACTTGAATATCTATGTATGTCATGCGTAGAAGCTCTACGATAAAGTGGCCACGAACCTGATTCTCGGTTAATTCCCTATGCTGTTCTGAGTATGCAAAGGCCAAGTCCGATGACATCCTTTCATAGTAAGGACCATCTTTCCTTTCTAAGTATCCGAGTACTGCATCTTCCTTAAATCTGAGGAGAGAGCTTCAATTGAACATAAGACATATCTACACAACTTAAGAAGTACCTCCCACCTTCTTGCTACTCCAGCACTGCCGCCGGGGACTGCAAATTGTAGATCATCGGGGACCCATAAACCAATTGTCTGTCAATATACAATTCATCACACTTCATACTTATCCGTCACATTATCTCTTATGGTGAATGCTCCGAGCTGAGCTGATGCATACATATATCCTTTCAATCCGGCTGTTAGTGTTACTCATTGGGATTTGGACTCAACAAATTACATCGACCATCATTTCGGGATCTGCGATATAGTCGGTGGCAACCTAGCCCTCAGCTGAAGCTGAGGTTGATGATGTACACGGTGTATACTCTTCCAATTAAATCAATGACCGAGTATTTAGAAAAAGAAACCATACTGCCCGTCTATAAAAGACCGTACACAATCCACGATGGGCTGAGCAGCTCATCACTCAACTCCTCTCCTCTTTATAAAACCTTCGTCTTTGATCATCTACTCCAATCGAAACCCCGAAAGCATATCCACTCTATCAACAACCAACATGAAATTCTCAACCATCCTTTCAGCCGTTACCCTCTTTATTGCCCTCGTGGCAGCCACCCCCACGCCCGCGAATGAAGCAGTCGCGGAATCTGCACCCTCACAGGTGGTATGATACCTACCCATCTTAGATAGAAAGATTATTGAAGCCATTGTATCACTATCTATGATGAAGAATATTTGCCCCAATCTACAGGCTACGTCTTGCTGCGATTCCTGCCGATTCGAGCTCGGGGAAGAAGGTGGCATCTCATGTTGCCAGAACTGCGGTTGTAGCGTTCAGTAAAATACCAAATACCACAGCAGCATTTAAGTACATGATCATGGCAAGTGGGGGATTATGAGAAATTGTGATGGTGGTGAGGTGGGAGTTGCGAGGTACTTTTTTGGTGTGGGATACTTTGGTGACAGTGGTGTGGGATCCTTGGGGCTTTAGTCCTGATTGTCTTGGTCTAAGCTTGGTCTGTTGTGTCCTTTGTGCCCGCCTTGAGTTCGGTCCTGCTGCAACAGTTGTGGTCCATCTCACAGTAGTGTTATGCGAATGCCAATTCAGTTTGATCACAAGGAGGTAAGATGCATTAGAGTATCTGTTTAGATAGGTTTCAATTGGCAAGAGTAGTTTGAAATCATTGGTCGAATGTTTTTGTAACTATGTATGAAGCCTGTCCAGTAAAAGGAGTGTTTTCTTTTGATATGATGAAAGCTCTGACGGGAGATCCTGTCTTCATTGAGCTTTAGTCTCTGGTTACTTTCTATACTCACGTCCGTGGTACCAGGATCCTAGCCCCAGGATCATTGGAGATAAGCAGATGAATACCGTTGTGCTTGAACATGCTGCGCAAATCTCCTAACAGGTATATGAGTTCTACTACAACACCTAGTACTGCTGCTGCACAGAATTCCTGTGCAATGGCCCATGGACCACCATCTGGTGTTGCATACATCGCGTATGGCAACCCCCTTGAGATATTATATGCAGGCATTTATAATATTGCAGCGGGGCCCTCGGGGTGTACATTATTCCTGTATTTTATGCTGATTCAAAGCCAATTTAAGTCCCTGTTGAACACCTTCGATCTTTGGTGGGTATGCCTCGTAGAGACTTCGCCAACAAACATTCCGAGCTTTTATGCGCCGTTCTAGATTGGCTCTCTTTAAGTGTGTAAGGGTAGCACATAAGATCTGGAATATCATTACAACCCGTCTATAACGCGACGTTGACCCCACACAACATTAGGAAGTAACAGAGAGATCTTTGATGAAACAGAGCACAATAGTACGAGTCCAGCTAGTTTGAAATGGCGTCGGAGAGGTGCGATCGAAAGAAAAGCTCGGTGATAATGAACCCGACGAGCTGCAGAGTAGAGAGGATTCAACCACTCACGGGGACACTTTCGACTTCTGTGGATGAGGCATACAAACGCTTGAGGAATTTGTCTTAGCCTTGGAATGCAATATGATTGCTGCCAAATGCAGATGGCGCTGCATGACTGCTTTCTCCGGAGGGGTCCCCTAATTCTGGTGGGTTACTGATTAGATGAGTATGTTGTATGACCTCAAAATAGTAGAGAAATATGCATTGAGTCCGGACACTAAGGATATGGTAGGATAGTGATATGATCATCTAGAGTGTCCGCCATCCCCCCTCACCGAGCTAGTGTATGCGGTGTAGCGTCCACCTCCTTCTCCCAGTCTTCCCCTCGGATAAATATGTATTGATGTGTATTCCTCCGTTGAGATGTCGATCGACTACCAGTAAGCCTCCTGGTGCAACCCTCCACATGCCGAGGAGACTGGGCTACATGTTTGTCCTCTGCCAGCGAGACACAGCCCACTTTTCTTCTCTTTTCCACTCACCCCTTTCTTTTCTTCTCAGCATTGGTGCAAATTGTAGCTATACCGTTATCGCAATATCTCTAAGACAATGATATACAGATCTAGAAGCCGTGCCAGCTAGGATTGACTATCCCTCTAGCTCAAGGTAGCCTATTCGAGGGGGTTCTAATGTAGTATGCCATTTTATGGACCTTTTCGTACACTTGATGCATATTGCTTCACTTGAGCAAGGAGCGACGATGTCTCTAGTGACATATGCTAACCAAGTAGTGACGAATAGCTCGCAGACAATAGATAATCTGATTCCTCTAGGTTTTAGGGTCCGGTTTTCTCGGAGCCGAAGACCAGTCGGAAGTATTTTCCGATGCCTAGTGAGTGGCCATCACTCTCCCAGGACTTGATCCACCACCCCCTTTTTTGATAAGTCTTACACACGAAAAACAAGTCTAACTACTTTATAGACTACGATTTTTGAACCAATATCTCATTGGTCTGCCGGAGTTTGGGCACTTAGCATGGCAGAAGCACTAACGCATGTGTATCCTCAGCCGTTCAGCCGCACGGATGGGTCGATAACCTAGCCGCCTCAATAGTTCCATTCCTGCTTTTGCCTCTTCTGCGTGGGAAATACCATGATGTAGTTCGACCTGCGGGGTAATCTGCTATCCTGAGCGCATTGAAGCCTACCGCATTCGCGGCTGGAGACAGGTTGCACCGAGTCGGGTGAAAATGCAGAAGATACCCAGCTTGACAGGAAGGGATCATCAACTACGGCTTCCCTTTACAGCAAAGCAGGCGAATACTTTTTTCGGTGCTTGGACTGCAAGGTGACCTGGTCTCTGATATCGTTGACACGTTTCTCATTGGCCCACAGCCCTTGTACACGTCTTGCTGGTGGTAGGTAGATAGCTGCTTGATCTGCAGCACAACTGCCAGACTTTGCTAATATTTATATGCGAGTGGCGAAGTGGAAATTCTGGAAGAAAGATAGCCAAAAAAAAATAGAGGTGTAATACTATACCGGAACACTGAGTTACCATACTATGTATAATTCAGCCATATGAGTGGATCATGCAGTCGAGCTACGTCCAATGAGTGAGCTAATCCAATCTATGCCACTCCGCAGTATCGGCTGAGTGCGGGTGAACCGAGCTAGTCCACATCTGATTATCTTGTTTTGTGACACTCAGTCGAGAGTCTATGGGCAATTTTGACGGGAGCATCACAGAGGTTTAGGATGTTTACCCACTGTCCTTTCGATGGGAAATAATTTTGCACGTTGATTGTCATACCTTGAAATGCCTTCTGGTTTTCAGATTGCGAGGGATGGCCCAATCAACCCAATTGCTAGAACTTCATTGTTCCACAAGCATTTCAAATTCCTTATTGAATTCCTACTGTCCATAGTCGATAGGGGCCGGTAATATAGTATGTACACTAAGCGCCTTATCTTCATCACTACATACAATCCTTCGATCATCATATGACAGATCGTTGCCAATTAGGCAAAAAAGAATCTTTCTCGGCAAGGAATGGTGGATCTAAGTCTACCAGCGCTGTTAACTGCCACCCACAATTTCTACATTGGGCCCGATGGCAAATACCGCTTTCATAATGAGACTAGGAATGAGGAGCTACTTACGAGCTATTTGCAGTCTTAGAATGCCCAAACCCCCTACTGTGCCGTATTTACTCTTTTTTCCACGGTCTGCTTCATTGCCTTTGCAGCATCCGCGCCTGCAGAACCTACAAACCCCTTGGGTGTTGACCTCAAGAAGCCGGATCTGCAGGGACAACTAAAGGCGCTGCATGTAAAGAGCCAAATTCCAGCTGTATCCCGAGTTGAGGATATTGGAAATAATCATGATTGAAAACAGAACCCATCAACCTGCCATGATACAGACCAATGGAAATGCTGTAAACTATGCGCAGTAACTGAAACAAATCATTTGCCTGCTTGGCTTTGCTGCGCCAATTGTGGCTGTCAGAGGGTTACTCGGGACAACTACTTAGTTAAAGGTCTGGTGATCGTACTTTCTCGATCTCGAATCTTTACCCGGGCCTTTGGTAATTTCATGCATAGTCCTGGAAGTGATCTAGTTCATTACGCCTTAGCTCGGGTTTTTCCTGCAATCAGGTTTCCCCGTGCTTTTATGTGATTGCAGAGGCTTATGCTATCTTATTAGTTAATTGACTACTGTAATGGGTGAAGAATGGGAAGATAATCCGCGAAATTCCTCAAGGTAGAGCAATAGACAGCAAGCACGCACTTTGTTCCAGCGGCTAAATTATTCAACGTTCTCGTGACATGATGTCAAGTTGTCGGTAACCCCAGAGATAAATGGGTCAGGTCTCCCTTCGCTTGGATGAACAGAAACCCTGCCACCGTACCTCATGCATGGTTTTGTTTCCTATCTAGAATAACGATGCATTAGGGCTGCTAATATCGGGGTATGAAAAGAATTAGGCTAAGAAAACTAGACTATATGCACCTTCCCGCACCAGGCTCTCTCACAGGTGTCATTGGAGAATGTACTGCCACGCCAATGCGCCTAATTACAAGCTGAAGGGATTTCTGGACCATTTAGGAGTGTAATTTTGTTCTACAGGCATTACAAGAAGATTGGCTGAAACTAGCCTGTATTTGGCAAATGAAGTGGTGGCTACACAGCCGATGTCTCCCCAAACACAGGCTGAGCTATTCTAAACGGGGCAAACGAGCATTAGCAGGCGATTGACATACGAGCTGAATTATTTGAGAACCCCGCACCGATGAGTACAAGGGATATGTCGATTGGGTAATGAAATTTACTGATAACAGTATCTATAGTAGTTGGTTTCTTCTTCTTGTATATTTAAGGCCTGACATCCCAGGTCTGGGTTCTCACTTACCAGCCCCTCATCTAACCAGAAAATTATCATACTTTCAGCTCTAAATCCTTTTCCACTGCGCTCATACAATTTTCAATTCCTATAACCTACCACGCAACTTCATTCGCCTCCATCCTCAATACACTCAATATGAAGATCGCTTCAATTCTTCTCACTGCCGTTTTTGCTGCGTTTGCGGCTGCTGCACCTGTTGCAAGCGAGGACAGCGTAAGAACTCATATCCCCGTAATTATTTGTATGATCTCTGATAGTTTTGGTTTGTGACCGGAATAGACCGCCACCACTACTTGTCCTAATGTCAAGGCATTAGCATGCTGTTATACCTGTCAACAGCTGTCATCATCAGCGGGGATCCAGTCCATATGTTGTGGCTCTTGTGGATGCCCGCCGACTCTTTGAGCAACATTGCAGATATTTTCAGTCTTACTCCAACAAGCTCGTCCTCTCATCTGCGTCTTTATCATTTGTTTTGTTTGAATTTTGTGCCTCAGTGCAGGTTTTCCCTGTCAACCAGGTTTTCCTGTGCTTTTATGTGAATGCAGAGGCTTATATGTAACTGTTTACATGCCTTGGTGCAGAGTTGATGACTAGCCTCGGGCATGACCACTACAATGAATGTATGTGATATCTTACTCCCTGTCTAGCTCAGATAAAAGTTCTATTGGTGTTCTAAATCTATAATTTCGAACCAAGAAGAGGTGCGGGGACATGCCTTTATCCCAGAAGTTCTCTACTTGCGTCCTGCGACGATTTTCAGTGTGGCTTTGAGTTGTCTCTAGATGAAGATGCAAGAAAGACTATGAAGGTTGGAATGTTGAACACCAGGAGAGGTACGCCAGACTCGAGATCTAGAGATATTTCACCCTCCGGTGATAGAAGGCTTATTTATATCTCTGCTGAGTAACAACTGGTAGACAATAATAATAACAAATATGTAGCAAGAGAAGAATAGAACAAATCCTTGATTGGCTTTGCACTGCACGTTACATGGTGATAACCGTCACCATTAAAGACTTTCATTACTAGCACAGAAGATCATTCTTATCCATTTATGGGTTAGATTGCAGGGTGGCAAGCTCTCTTGTCCAACAAGACGTGTATTGGGGGACCCTGGAATAGGCCCGAACCGCCCCACACCCGGGACCCTAGGAAACGAGCTAATTGGCCCCCACGGCCATTAGTACGTTTTAGCGGGTGATCTAGATATGAGCTAGTTGCAATCGACATGCCAGCTATTTAATACACCCCGTGACAGATAAGACCGAGATTCAGTATTCGAGCAGGAATAGAAATTTGGAATCTCGTAGCGGATCATTACTGCTCTTGTCTCATTTTACCTGGAGGCATCACACTTCCAAAGTCACATACTTTAGTGCCATTGGGAAGGCACGCATGATTGGGCCTTGAGAAGGATTTGCTTGCACCGATGCACCGCGCATTTTACCGAAGCATTGCCACCCCACTTGATGTCTGCCATTATTGCTAGTTGGCGTCTATTTTAGCTTTCTCTTGGGGAGTAAAAGGCTCACGATTGAGAGATAGGGCTGGAGCCGGTTGAACTATGGAACACTAAGCACCTGTGACAACACGAAACCTAAGCCTTTGCCGGATCTCAAATATTATATCTAACTACTGTCAAGCGTTGGAATGGCTAAGGGAAAGAGTAAGTTCGATTTCTGCTACTAACTGTCCGTGCTGTAAGGGAGTATCCTTCCGCGGCGCCGCGGAAGCCCCGCCATTCCAATGCGTGTTACCGTCTTACTGCAGGTTGGGGCGTGGAGCCGAAGAATGCTGAACATGCTGACCTGTACCCGAAGGCTTCTGTCACCGTTGATTATCGAGGGTTGGTTTGTTGCCGGATAGGGGCTCTTCTCCCCCGCGGTGTGTTGGGAAATGGCATGCTGTCAGTGGGACTGGGAAGTTCATATCAACGTCTCCAGGACTACTGCACGAACCTTGCAGTGATTCTCCGTTCCCTGGCTAGCAAGTGATAGTAGGGATCAGGATATATCTAGCGCTCCTATGCCGGTTCAAAGGAATAAAAAGACCGACGCTGACTATGACATGATATCTAACTTCTTTCTCGCCTGACTGTTACTTGGATGTGGCTGATTAAGATTGGGATTCAAGAAGGAATATGGAAAAGCATGGAGATATGTTCACCGATTCAAAACATTATCCCTCAGCGCAAATGAAGGGCCTACCTTCAACATCCACTATCGTTCTGCCGCGGAGTGATAGCCTGTACTACATACCGATCCGAGTAGACCGCTCCTTATCAGATCAGCAATGAATGCAGGCACCGCATTGTTTCACCCCTTGAATGTAAGTCATGAGATGTCAGATGATTGGCTTTAATAACTCTACAACAAACTCCTTGCTTTATACACCTTTCTAGTGAGACCGCTAGTCCTAGATAAAGGGAGTCGTAGCGCCGGTTTACACCAGTCTAACATTTCCAGCCTCTGACTTTACCCCCTAAGAATTTCCACGTCCATACATCTCAAGTACCAAAATGAGAGTTTCGGCTATTATTACACTCCTCTCCTCTGCCTTGGTGGCGGCCAGACCTTTGCAAGATCCTAAAGGACAACCCAGTACAGCCATGATGAAACGACAGGTAAGACATTATGAGTTGACATTATATCTCCCTGAATATAAAATTTACCTTGGGGAATCTATAGGACCCTTCCAAGTGTCCTGATAGCCAAACCGCTTTCTGCTGTTCTGGTTGTCTTGTCACTTCTCCATTTGACTCCCAGACAGGCCGCACTCCGACGTCTTGTTGCAAGGACTGTGGCTGTTAGAATATTGTTCAATCGGCAGCCATCACACTCTACCTCAGGGTCTCGACGTTAACCTCACGATATTGCATGAGAATGGCTTGGTCTGAGATTACCTATATATCTAGGTTCTCCTATACTATAGGCGAATACAAACGCGTCTTATGTCACCTTTACCCTGGCACAGACTCGAGCTTTAATACCGTAGCGCCTGCCCATTACCTTTGCTGATAGCCGTTATCTGCCAAATTATGAGATTACATACACTAAGGACATTGCATATAGAAGTATTGGAGAACCAGCATGCTAATGACTGATCAAAGGGTAGATGATTGCTTTTCCTTTCCCCGGGCATCGTCCGTCAACAGCCAAACGTCATACTGGCTAATTGGTACCGCCATTTTTATTTCTAAGCATATCGGTAGCTGAGGGTATGATTCTTTGAACTGTACCGCCAAGCTCTTATATAATATTTCGCTCTGGTCTCGTAACTTGGAATGATGTGCGCATCTATTGTGTGGGATTACCAATATCTTTCACTATCTTTGGGGTAGCCAACCCGCGCTGCGGCTCCTGGTGTACCGGTTTAGAGCAGTCACTGAAAGCCGCTCAAAGACATATTCTTTTGAGTTAGTTGTATCTCGGATAAACATAGGAAAAAATGAACCCCTTCGAGTGTATACGAGCCGTACGCTTTGAAGTCCTCTCCATGAAATACACTTGGCGTATATATTATCGTGGCTGGATTGAAAGAATTACATTCTGCTTCGAGCGAGTCTATAACGGGACGGACTAATTAGGCGGATGCGATCCGCAGACTTCAATGCTTCAGGACGTACAGCCAGCCGGTCAGCTTAGCCACCCCAGTAATTGGTTTTTGCTTTTGGCCCAGGTACGTGCCCAAAATTGAGGCTGTGTGCGGAGTATGGGGTGTTTGTCTATGATCACTAGGCTTTTGTAGTCTAGCTCGCATGATGTTTTGGTATGGTTATTGTTCTTGAATCTGCACAATTAGGGTAGTCCGGTGAGGGTCTCTGACTACAAGGTGCTACTATTCAAGGCAGGCATCGATGATTCCCACTCACCGCCACAATCGGGTTACACGGAGTCTGCGCTTCGATGCAGGTGACGGTCTCATGAATGTGGGGTTTTGACACTGAACAGTGTAGTACAACCGGACGGGCTGGCTGACTGGTCGATCTACAGCTCTTATTGCCTAAAAGCCGTACCGAAAAGTTTCAAATATGAGTTCGAAAAAGGAATTGTCACATAATCGATAAGTCCGGTGATGTATATATAAAGTAAGGAGAGATGGAACTCGAGCCTGCATGGTGCTGAGTAACGGTTCTATCGCGGGTTTATAAAGACATCATCGTCCACCCCAGTTCTGGAGATTTTCCAAGACACATCCTTCACCGCTTTGAGCATTCCTTCGAATACTAAATAGAATTACTACTATTCGTATCGAAAATTCAAACATGAAGTTCCTCACTATCCTCTCCACCGCCCTCTTTGTCGCCTTTGTGGCAGCTACTCCTGCCAACGAGGATATGGCGAAGCGACAGGTATAGCAACCCGCGCAGATAATATTCCCCACCTACATCCCATCATGTATAACTGATAAACACAATTATAGGCTCTTACCGACGGCTGTCAAACTCAACAGGCTAGTGACTGCTGCTTATCTTGCTGGGATGATTACGTCAACGATCATACCTTTGACACGGGCAGCTGTTGCAGGGGCTGTGGCTGTCAATGGAATTGAATATCCCGCCTAATACACGGATACAACCATTAAGTCAAGGATATAATATGTGCAAAGATTGGGCAAGCATACAGCGACTGGACTGTCTTGATTCTATTGTATCCTAAAAGTAAGAAAGTCGAACAATGAAGGTTCAAGATTGAGTGACGACTGAAGAGTGTTAAGTCTTGATCCAAACTAGTTTGCCAGTAGGCCAAAGCGATACGTCACTGGCAACCAAGGAGCAGGGTGACTCAAATATCTCATCATTCCAATTGGCTCTGTCTCGGTTACTTTGGTGGCTTGAGGGTGTATTAAGTACTACGTGAAATAGATGGAGCGAAGCCGATCTGCCTCAACTTGCAGGCCAGACTGCTATCAACAAATCCAAAGTGAATATGTCCCATTGGATAGTAATTTGACTTTGTCTGAACAAAAGCAGATTATATACTGCAGCTAACTAACTGAAGTTCCATGGCCTGTCATTTCAATCAAATCTCGACATGCTCATCGCTACCTGCAGTCTCCATGCATGCTGGAACTCCAGCTGAGGCAAACAAGTTAGCGATGAACATGCCTGTCCTTCCTTGTCTCCTAAATCAATATTGAATTGGTTGGTTGGGGATTTGTAATTCAGCATATGGCCAATTGAATCATCCAAGCACCTGATTGTGTCTGCAGTCAGAGGTTAGACCAATAACGCCATATGCAATGTGACTTGAGCGGGACGGACCGAAGGACTGAAGCAGACAACGTATCAGTCCCACTTATCGATCACGCAATTATCAACTGCGAGGTACTGCTACTTTCCTCTCACAGGGCTGACTGACCAATGTCTCGAGCCGCAGAGAAAGTGTGCTTCTTGGACCTGCATCACCCTTTCACGTTGCCGAAGTTAACAGTACCGAGCACATGGCTACTGCAGGCCTGACGAGCCAGATCAGCTCATGCGGCTGCGGAGCTGTTTACAGCTGAAACCTCCGGTCTCATGCCCGGTTGTAGGGTTGTGAGAGTTACAAACAAGCCAGTATGGTTTCTGCTCTGTTATGCCTTGGTCTGGGTTTAGCCTACTAGATTAGGTTCTTTTATACCATTATGCATATGCAAAGACTTTTTGTGATATACCCTTGGAGTATCTGGATAATGAAAGGTTCTGTCCTTGTGTTCGCGATTCAGTTTTATAGGGAAGACCCCCAAGGGTGCATGCATTGTTTCAGCAGTTATATCGAGCTACCCTCGTTATAAAGGAAAGCTTGAGATATCATTATTCAGGACTGGAGCAGTAGATTTGGATAGTATGTGCCATGGAAATCTGCGATATACGCATAGGATATATATTGACCTGGAAGGAGCTTCAAATATTATACAAGTAGAGTCGCAGATAATGCGAAAGAACCAGGCCTAGCTAAGGGCATTGTCTAAGCGATGTAGTTATTGTCCTATGCAGAAGCCTACTAAGGTATACATGTGCTTTAGTATCAAATCAGTGCTTGAATGTTGGTCTTTTGGATATGTTGGATGCTAAGAAGCGAGTCAGTTTCTGACCGAGACAGGAGACAGTCCGGGTGGCACGGATATGAATGTCCTCGGCGGTAACTGAAATAGGGCTGTGATGTAAAAGGACTGACCCAGGGAGAGCGTTGATACTTTTCTCCCCATCATGACAAGTACACAATGCCATGAAACCCAGTAAAACCTCTACCGTTTCTCTGAGTATTTGTTAGCTGGACTCCGCTGGTGCATGAGCCTATTTACACACACGCCCTGGGGTCCGCTGGAATCAGAAAGACATTTATGACAGTACGTTTGCCACTTTCTCATTAAAATAGCTTGTATGGCCCATATATATTCCCTATAAAATAAAGCAAACGGCATATCCTCAAGGTCAAAGTATAGAAAGCGCTTGTGCTAACCCCGGAAGTACAAAAGCGACATCCCACCCACGGTAAGACGGTTCGAATCTCGAGGTAGGTTCCAATTCTTTACTTAACTTGATCTTCTTGGAATTCCCATTCCAGCACGATCTTCCCATCCAATTTTTTTAGCCAATTATTGATAGATCGAGGCCCATGTACTCCTTGCCTGTCACTGGAATTGCGGTTGTCGAAAATTCAACAACCTTGCACCCCCTATATTTCTTCCATTGCTACTCCATGAAAGTGCCTTAGTCGTCGCAGAAATTGATTCTTACTGTCATGTATATTTTATAGTGTCTCTGCCACTCCTTATAGGATCCCAGAACCATGGGTCTTCCGACAAGTTGCGAGTCTCAACTATCTTATTTACTCAGCTAGCACAGGTAATGCTCAAAAGCTTTTGAATGCATTTGACTATGTCGACGTGCGTCGCAATCCATAATGAGCCAGGCAATGTGATACGTAATATCCTGCAGGTACAGTGGCTGGCTGATCGGTGGCGGTGTCGGAACACACGTAATTGTTTGCAGGGTGAAGGAGAGGCTCAGTCATTTATCGGCTAAGAGAAGCGGTTTATATTCTACCCATCCCACTGAATATCTCTGTTTTAGGCTCAAGGTTCTGGTCTAGTAAGTCTCTTGACGACCGTTTCTCGGATGTCCTTATTTTTCAGACTACTGAATCCTATTCAGGTATGATCCTGCACAGTCGGCGAAATGTTTGAGAACATTTAACGGTGAGACTATCTGACTACTTAAACTTTATTGCCTGTCGCAACAACTAACTGCAGCTAGATTGCAGTGAAATCCTTCTACAAAGTAGATGATAGGCTTATTACCCCGATCCGATCTAGTTGCAGCAAATTATGAAGAGGCAGGTGCAGCATGCAAGGGCCTAAGGAGGCTGAAACCGGTGTCCACCGGGACGGTTGCCTCCATGAGTCCATGCTCCAGGACCGTGTGTGGTGACTTGATTACAATCTGGTCAGCTTTTTATGCTCTGAAATATTGTTTCCATTTCAGAAAGTGATTATAAAAGCGCCCCTGAGGTCGCCGTGCTACACGGATGCTAGCTTGAATAAAAATGGCGCAAAGAACACGTGTAGCCATCTTATAGTTTGGGACGAAGTGTGTTCATGCAGGGTGTATTGCATTTCCGATGAGAACGCTTCGTAATCGTCATTGCTCAATCTGCAAATGATCAGCCCTACTACTCTATTGAATGGCTGACCCTTAATTAAAATGGCCCAGCAAAGTTCAACTCTGCTGGTGAATCGAGGGCAAACATGCAGGTCGCATTTCGATAGTCGCCTCTTTTGGAGCAGTGTCGCGGTTAGGATAGAGTACTGTAGGGAGCAGATCATAACTAAGAAGTATCGAGATAATACATCGGCTAACTGAGGATATCCCTTGCCGCTAAATGCATTGCCATACTTACCACTCCACTGAGGCAATAACACAGTGAAGTCCATCCAAGTATTTAATCTGAGTACTCCCCCCAGCTGTTTAGTCTCATTACATCTCATTACATCCTCCAAAGAATTCTATCTGCTCTACAACTTCATCCTCTATCATCATGAAGGTCTCAGCTGTCCTCTTTGCCGTCCTCTTTTCTGCCTTTGTGGCAGCCACCTCTGAACACGATCCCGCGGCAAAAGTTGGTGCATCCATCGGAAAGCGAACGGTAGGGAGCTGAAGTCCCATCTGTTTTGTTACTCATAGACTGTCTGTCAGGGGTATTGACTATAAGGTTTGATAGGAGGCCGACTCTGCTTCGTTGTGCGACGATCTCGGTGTCCTCGACTGTTAAGCTACATGCCTCCACAACAGCGATCCAGCCAGCTGCGCCAGCGATTGTGCCTGTGATATGGAATGACATCAAAGGAAAGGGAAATGTTGGCGAAAGCACACCTTCGGCGCTCATACGCCGTCTTGTGTCTCTGTTTCCCTTTATGTGACTGTGTGAACTTGACTCTTGTCCACCGTGCCTTAGTATAGGTCATTTCATATAACATGGATTTTCCTATTCTCTTATGCAAATACAAAGGCTCGGTCTGATATCTACCATGATTCCAAGCATCGGACAGTTTGCCTTGGCACCCGAATGGTGTATTCTCTATATTGTCTAAGCCACAGAGTACATAGCGTCTATTGAGATACTGTGTCGATATCGTAGTGTTCCATCAATTTGAGTGACATGGTAGTATTCCGCTGGACCATCCTAAAAATTTGATTTGGGCTTCCCAGCTGCATCACTTGCTATATAAATATGATATCGAGATAGATATACTCGATCTAACATGACAAAGTGACATCTTGCAGCCCAGTCAACTGTCTTAGCAGACCCATCTTTGAATACGCAGTCGAGAGTTCCATGCACCATAGCCACGTTAGAATTAGGTCCGTACGGGAAAACTTGCTTGAGGCGATGCGTGCAGTGCTTAGTTGGATTCCACAATGCTTTCCTCAGGGCATATATTTTTATAGAATCATCAATGGTTGGGAAGAGCCTCGGCCAATCCTACGACATGGCCCTGTCAAGCTTACCCTCTCTACCACGTGCTTCTCTTTCTCCCATTATTACCGTAGCATCGGGCGTAAAGCATTGTGAATATTTTTCGTGCTCATTCGGTGTGTCCATCCGGAGATAGAACTCATTCAAGAATCGCTTATAAGCGGGATCGAAGGGTATTAAGGGGTAGTCCGGGCCCATTTCCGGCCTTTCTAACGCTGGTGTTAGAGTTGGTTGAGTAGTATTGTGTGAACTATGGCCAGGTACTTACGATCGTTTGGCAGGATGGCCAGTGCCTCTTGTCTGTATTTCACATCCAGAAGTACAGTTTCTGCTAGACTCGTATCGAAGAAACACCTCACTTGAACGATCTTCTTTGTTAGATTGAATTTGCAGTGCCATGAATAATGTTGGCTATACAAACGATTGCCCAGTTTTGTTCGGGTGTCTCTGGTCTTCAACTCAACGTTAACCCACCCTTCCTCGTTTCTTGTGATGCTATCAGGGCAGGCTATCTCAAATATAGGGCCCGGGTCTGCTATCAGTTTGATGATAGGCAGCCACACCTTATTCAAGAATTCTGCCTTCGACCTCCATACTCCTGATAACGCGTTTTGTCCTGTGATCTCCCAGTATACATTGTCATCGACGTGGTTGAAGAAGGATTCGTAGCCGCGGGGGACTTTGCTTAGTTCTCCGAATATGGATAGTATCTCGGCGTTGGTGAGATAAGGCATAATGAGGCGTCGTTGGGGGGAAGCGTCTCCTGGGTCACTGAAAATCACTCAAGCACATTTTGTGTAGCATTGGCTAAGTTGAGACATATGATAAACGGCGGGCCCGATGACAGCTTATCAAGCCTAAGCATTCATTCTGCAGCAGCTGAGACCAGCCACATTTCAGGTAAAAGTATAATTCGCGGTTTAATCTTCCGCGATGCCCGTGTCTCAGCGTTCTGCCAAGAAAGAACAACT